ATGAAGCTATTTTCACATATGTCTGCTAGGGGCAGGGTCAGTAAGTTACAACAACAAACAATACAAAACCGATTGGAGTGCAAAGTATAGGAATGGCAAGCAAGTCACTACAAATAAATAACTTGTATAAGTACAAATTGCAAAAGTACAGAAATTCCTGGTAATTCTTCAACACTAAATGCAGCAAAACAAAAAAAAAATTCCCAGACCTACACCACGACAGCACACAGTCCCTCAATAAAATTGCATGGTGGAACCATCAACCACATCAGAACATCAACAGGCCTTTGCGCACTTCTGTATCAGTGGAAGATTAAAGACAAGCCACAGAAATGCAGTTGTGGCCATGCAACCCAAACTATGGGGACTGGATAGTAAACCACTGTAGTCTGCGCTGTTTCAGCAGAGGAGGAACGGCAAAACGACATCAACTCTCTTATGGACCCCCCCCCCCCGCCCCTCGTCGTTGCTAGCAGACATCGATACAATATTGGCATCTAGCTCCTGAACCTTGCCGTACGTAAGAATACAACCGATAGCTGTGTGAAATCCAACCAGAAGATGCCAAGTACAGCAAGTGGAATAATGTGTGATCCATAATAGAGATTGTTGGGTGACATCGCGTAAATATAAATGTGTCGTTAAACCCGCCACCACCCACCACAGCCAATTAGTAAGGTTTGTCACGTAAACAAAACATGCCAATGTGTGATCCCGTCTTTGTGGCGCTTTTGAGTGTTATCCCCTTTTATACGTATCGAGTCCTCTAACAACAAAAAAATGCTGCTGCTTGACCAGGCCCGGATGCGGACTTGTTTTAGCGAGTGCGCGCGTGTGTCTTGCGTCTACCTAATTGGTTGTCTCGGGCGATTGTGGGGACGGAACCTGACTTTTCTGGGCCGTGGCGTCCTCTCTATAAATACGCGGCTCCACGCACCTCGCGCCGTGTTCCATTACGCGCACGCGCCTCCATGACCGCCCCGATGTGTCGTCGATCTGCAATGAACGCGTGGCGATGGGGGTGTGCGAGATTGATGAGGGTGTGCGGGGTTGATGGGGGTGTTCGGGGTTGATGGGGGTGTGCCGGGGTTGATGGGGGTGTTCGGGGTTGATGGGGGTGTGCGGGATTGATGGGGGTGTGCGGGGTTGATGGGGGTGTTCGGGGTTGATGGGGTGTGCGGGATTGATGGGGGTGTGCGAGGTTGATGGGGGTGTGCGGGGTTGATGGGGGTGTGCCGGGGTTGATGGGGGTGTGCCGGGGTTGATGGGGGTGTGCCGGGGTTGATGGGGGGTGTGCCGGGGTTGATGGGGGGTGTGCCGGGGTTGATGGGGGGTGTGCCGGGGTTGATGGGGGGTGTGCCGGGGTTGATGGGTGTGTGCGGGGTTGATGGGGGGTGTGCCGGTGAGTTAGGATGATGAGAGTTCAGGTGACACGGAGGGAGTGGTGAGGTGCCATGCTGTGTGGTGACTGGAGGAGGTTTAGAGGGATTGGTAAGTGTGGGCTTGTGTTTTTTATGTGCGTGCATGCTATTGTTTGTACTCTTGTGCGGTCGTGCGTACTGTGTATGTTTCTGCATGTAAGTGAGCACGTGCTAGTATCTTAATGGGGAGTGGCGAACCTAAACCGGTCCCTGGCCTCACCTTGGTCGACTCAGCCTTAACTTGCCGATTACCTGGTGCGGTGTGAAAAACATCACCACTGCGGAGACAAACGCGACCCGGCGTGGTTTCTGACCACGCCACCCCCACGCGCCCCTTAAAATGCGCTCGTTAACAGCGCTTGCCCCAACAGCCTTTTAAAGGCTACACCGAGGGGGTGGTGGGGGGACCATTGTCTTTGTGTCGTGCGTGGGAGGCCTGGCTGTGTTGAGTCTGTGTTGGCGAGGTTTGTGTTTCTCAAGGACTGAGCCGATCCGGGCACCCGCCCCCCACCACTTCCTACACACCCACACACCCGTCACACACACACACATACACCCGTCCCACACACACACACATACACCCGTCCCACACACCCGTCCCACACACACACCCGTCCCACACACACACACCCGTCCCACACACACACACACACACCCGTCCCACACACCCGTCACACACACCCATCACACACACACACCCGCCCCACACACCCATCACACACACACACCCGCCCCACACACCCGTCACACACACACCCGTCACACACACACACACACACCCGTCCCACACACACACACCCGTCCCACACACACCCGTCCCACACACCCGCCCCACACACATCCGTCACACACACACACCCGTCACACACACACACCCGTCACACACACACACCCGTCACACACACACCCGTCACACACACACCCGTCACACACACACCCGTCCCACACACACCCGTCCCACACACATACACCCGTCCCACACACACACACACACCCGTCCCACACACACACACACACCCGTCCCACACACACACCCGTCACACACACACACCCGTCACACACACACACACACCCGTCCCACACACACACACACACCCGTCACACACACACACACCCGTCCCACACACACACACCCGTCCCACACACACACCCGTCACACACACACACACCCGTCTCACGCCTCCTACCCAACTGCATGCCTCAACCTCCTTATCAGCACACACAAATACACGCTCGTATACACACACACAAAATACCTGTACATACGTACACATGTACATACAGTACTGTACATGCAAACTGAGGCAAAGAGAGCCAGAATTGTTGGGGCAAGTGCTGTTAGCGAGTAGCACATATGAAGGCCGACACACGGTACACTAGGGGGTGGGTGGCCAACACGACGCCCCGGTCGCCTTTGTCTCCCCAATGGTGATTTCTACACACCATGGTATTTATTTGAGGTCGAGTCTACCCAGGAGAGGCCCAGGACTGGTTCACCGCTAACCGCTGCACGAACACACACGCACTACGTGCACGTGTACACACTCTCAGTATCGTCTGCCTTTCCTGGACAATGTTCTAGACTGCGGCAGCAAGTGGGTGTTTGGAGGGAGGCGTCATGGGCATGGCAATGTGTGGAGGGAAGGGGGCAGTGGGCATGAGTCGGGGGGGGGGCGCGCAGTGGGCACGGTTGTGTAGGGGGATGGGCATGGCTGAGGCCAGGGATAGGGAAAGAGGGGGCATGTCTCTGGGGATCAGAGGGATGTGTGGGGGAAGGGGCAGGTGGCATGGCTCAAGGACGGGTAAGGGAGGCAGTGGGCACGTCTAGGGATTAGAGCGGGCAGTGGGCATGGCCGTGTGGGGAGGGGCAGGGGGGTAAGGCTGAGAAGGAGGAGGGGGGGGAGGGCTGGTTCTTCTGCCGGAGTCTGGGGGATGGGCTGGAGGGGGACGTTTTCTTCCCTAGGGGTATTACGAGGTACAACGTCACGTTAAGCGACGTCGCCTTGTCGACCATGCGAGGTTTTTATTTTATTTTAAAATGTCATTGCTGTTGCCTTTGCCACTGCTGGTGTAAACGAACGTTGCCTTTAGGCCGGCGGAGGGGGGGAAATGAGGGGGTTCATGTTGCCAAGCAATTTCATTACAATGGATAGCTGCGGTTCGTGTTGTGACTTAAGCAAGAACTACAAATCTATTTGGACTGCTGGAATATATATAGATGTAGATCGCCCCGAAAGTAATGGGCCTTTATGGAAGCGATTGTTGATCGCGTGTCAATAGATGTAGGAAAGGAGGGGGACCTTGTTCTTCGTTGGCCGTCGGCAGACCCCTTGCGTGACCCCACGGTTGCCGCCATGTGCTGCTTGCTGGAGGTGACGCTCAGAGCGTGGCCCTCGGAGCAGCGAGCGCGAACACAACAACGCACACACCATAGCATACACGCCATGGCAATAGCACACACACTATAGCATGCACGCCATAGCATACACGCCATGGCAATAGCATACACACTATAGCATGCACGCCATAGCATACACGCCATGGCAATAGCATACACACTATAGCATGCAAGCCATAGCATACACGCTATAGCATGCACGCCATAGCATACACCCCATGGCAATAGCATACACACTATAGCATGCACGCCATAGCATAAACGCCATAGCCACAGCGTACACACGAAAGCATACATACCATAGCAATAGCATACACACTATAGCATGCACGCCATGGCATACATGTTATAGCATGCACACTATAGCATACAGCACACCATAGCATACACACTATAGCATACACCCCGTAGCCATAGAATACACGCCATAGCATAAAGACACGAGAGAATACACAGAAAGGTATACACTCAATTTCCATAGAATATACCCTGTAGCACACATTGCCTTCACACAATCTGATCTCGCACCCCACTTCCACCTCGATCACGCACACAATCCTACACCCCTTTCACACCTCACCCCGGTCACACACACAACGCCCTTCACACCCCGGGCACACACACACACACACAAACCTGATACCTTCAGCTCACACCCCGATCACACACGCAGCACACCCCTTTCACACTGAGCACTCTCATCAGACACACGCAGCACATCCCGTTTGCTCGCGCACCCCCCTCGCACCCCCCTCGCACCCCCTCTCGCACCCCCATTCGCGCACCCCCTCTCGCACCCCCCTCGCACCCCACTCGCACCCCCTCTCGCACCCCCATTCGCGCACCCCCCTCGAACCCCTCTCGCACCCCCCTCGCGCACCCCACTCGCGCATCACATCGCACCCCTCTCGCACCCCCTCTCGCACCCCCCTCGCACCCCCACTCGCACCCCCACTCGCACCCCTCTCGCACTCGCACCCCCACGCGCACCCCCCCCTCGCGCACCCCCCCCTCGCGCACCCCCCCTCGCGCACCCCGCTCGCGCATCACATCGCACCCCCACTCACATCCCCCCCCCCTCGCACCCCCCTCCTCGCACCCCACGTCGCCCCGCCCCTGCTCGCACGCCCCGCCCCTGCTCGCACGCCCCGCCTCCACTCGCAGGCGGAGGCGGCGGCGCTGTCAGGACGGGCGTGCGTTGGTGGTGGTCGCACGACTCCGACTCGTGCCGGCGTTCGTAGTCCGAGTGTCGTCGGTACTAGCAGCAGCAGCAGCAGTGTTAGTTGCTAGTAGCAGCGTCGGCGGCAGTGTTAGTAGCAGCGTTGGTCATTGTCAGTAGCAGTGTTTGTGGTTCACAGTGTTAGTGGCTGGTGGAAGTGGCGGTAGCAGTGTTGGTCGTGTTATACGAGTAGCAGTGTGTGTGGTTCGTAGCAGTGTTAGTATCGGTGGTCGCTGTGCCACCAGTAGTATTTTTCAAAGTCACAATTCCTGGGCGCAGACACAAAAGGCCCCAAAAACATCAAGCGGCCGGCAACAAGCTGCACAATCAAGGTTGCAATAGATGAGAGTTAAAACACGTGCCTGTAGTATTAGCGTTTAAAAGGAGTAAGTAGCTAGTGGTAGTTTTGGTAGTTGTATTTCTCGTTCTAGAGCTGTTGGTGCCGATAGTCAGCAGTAGTGCTTTGAGTAGTTGGTGGCAGTGTTAATAATAAGTCAAACTAGTATTCGTAGTTGGTGGTGGTATTGTGAGTTAGCGGTGGTGCTTGGTGTCGGCTCGCGTGGTCATCATGTCCTCGGCAGAAGAGGCAAGCAGCGGGGCCAAGAAGGCGACCAAGAGTAAACTATTCGAGTTCCTCGTGCACGGCATCGTGAGTCCGCCACTGCACCTCCTCGTGCGTTTCTCAGCTCTCCCCCTCTTCCCCCCACCTCCTCACCTCTCCCAACTCTCCCCCCCCCCACCTCCTCACCTCTCCCAGCTCTCCCCCCCCCCTCCTCACGTCTCCCAGCTCTCCCCCCCTCCTCCTCACTTCTCCCATCTCTCCCCCCCCCTCCTCCTCACGTCTCCCAACTCTCCCCCCCCCCTCACGTCTCCCAACTCTCCCCCCCCCCCCTCCTCACGTCTCCCAACTCTCCCCCCCTCCTCCTCACGTCTCCCAACTCTCCCCCCCCCTCCTCACGTCTCCCAACTCTCCCTCCCCTCCTCACGTCTCCCAACTCTCCCCCCCCCCTCCTCACGTCTCCCAACTCTCCCCCCCCCTCCTCACGTCTCCCAACTCTCCCCCCCCTCCTCACGTCTCCCAACTCTCCCCCCCTCCTCCTCACGTCTCCCAACTCTCCCCCCCTCCTCCTCACGTCTCCCAACTCTCCCCCCCTCCTCCTCACGTCTCCCAACTCTCCCCCCCCTCCTCACGTCTCCCAACTCTCCCCCTCCTCACTTCTCCCATCTCCCCCCCCCCCTCACGTCTCCCAACTCCCCCCCTCCTCACGTCTCCCAACTCTCCCCCCCCTCCTCACGTCTCCCAACTCTCCCCCCCCCTCCTCACATCTCCCAACTCTCCCCCTCCTCACGTCTCCCAGCTCTCCCCCCCTCCTCACGTCTCCCAGCTCCCCCCCCCCTCCTCACGTTTCCCAACTCTCCCCCTCCTCACGTCTCCCAGCTCTCCCCCCCTCCTCCTCACGTCTCCCAGCTCCCCCCCCCCCTCACGTCTCCCAACTCTCCCCCCCTCCTCCTCACTTCTCCCAGCTCTCCTCACACCTGCCAACTCTCCCATGCATCTCATCTCATGTCTCTCCTTGTGTCACACCTCTCCTCTTGTCTCCTCTACTTGTTGTCTCCACTGCTCGTCGCGTCTCCAAAGCACATGCGTGTGTCTGCTCTCTTTGTCTCTCAATTTTTTCTGTCGTGTCTGTGCTCCTCCGAGTGCCTCCCCAACAAACTCTCTCGTGTGTCTTCTCTTCTGGTGTCTTCCCTCCTTGCGTCTCCCCTACTCCCGTGTCCCTCCTCTCTTCATCTCTTCTCTCCTCACGTCCCCAAAGCTCACCCAAGTGTCTCCCCTCTTCGTGCTGTGGGTAAATGAGTATAGGTTGCCTGTGTAGGCGTGAGTAGACATGGCTGTGGGTGAATGTGCAGGTATTGGATGACTGGTACCAGCGGTGTTAAGATTGACCTCTGTGGAGAAGGTTTGTAAAGGACGCTGCTGTGCAGTTGGAGGCAGTCTCCCTCAACAGCGGAGAGCAGAGGAGCGGCTAAAACGCAGCAAGTTGGCACAGTAGGGGGGCACAGGTGGTGCATCTGCCAGTCATCTCAGTCAACCCATGGCACCCGGGTCTGTCCTATGACCTGCAAGTGAGCCCTCAACACTTCACGTGGCCTCAAAGTGTACATAGCCTGGCACTAGCACCGTGGTGACGTCACCCGCCACTTATTGACGAATGGCGGTTGTTGTTGAATGTATGGGGAGCAGTCGTGTAGAGGTTAGCGCACTGCGTAACAAACCCGGCGATTCAAGTTCGATTCACGCTCACGGCCATTATCGGTGACAGTTATCTGAACTGATCCTGGCTCTCCCCTATGTCGATTACCTGGTGTGGTGTGTAAACATCAGCACGAGGGAGACAAAGGCGGCTGGTCATTGTGTTCGCCACCTACCCCCTCATGTGCCATGCTGGCCTTCATAGATGCTCGCCAACAGAACTTACTCCATCAGTCTGGTAAGGGCTATATGGGGGATCTTTGTATGACTGTGTGTATGGTTATGAGCGGTAGTGTATAGTAGTTAGGCTACCCGAGTTCAATTCCCACTCACGGCCAATACCAACACCAGTGACGATTATCTGAGCCTATCCTGGGCCTCCCCTAGATCAACTCAACCTCAAATGAATACCTGGTGTGTAAACCTCATCACTGGGGCGGCAAAGGCTGCCGGGCATGGTGTTGGCCATCCACTCCTTCGTGTGCCGTGCCAGCCTTCAAAGGTGCTCGCTAACAGCACTTGTCCAAACATTCTGTTAAGGCTATATGGGGGATCTTTGGTTGTGTTAGCTGTGTCACGTAGCCGCATGCCCAGCTACCGCATGCCCAAGCAGCTTCTGATTGGCCGGATAGAGGGGTCTAAATGGGCACGGCACAGGCTAGAAAAGAGATGGACCGATGCGGTACAGGACCATGTGGAGATGATTGTGCTTGCAGATGACCGGCACCAGCGATGTCAAGGTCGGCTTCTGTAGTGGAGGCTTGTGAAGGACGTTGCTGAGCAGTTGGAAGGCATTCGCCCTACAGCAACAGTGGAGAGTGGAGAAGTGATGTTCACGACAAGTAGCGGAGCAGCTAAAACGCAGCAAGTTGGCACAGTAGGGAGCACAAGTATATCTGCCAGTCTTCTCATTCAATCAATCCATAACACCTGGGTCTGTCTTGTGACCTGACAGCGAGCCTTCAACACTTCATGTGGCCTCAAAGTGCACCTAACCTGGTACAAGCGTCATGATGATGTTACCGCCACCTAGTGGTGAATGGCGTTTGATATTATGGTTGTTTGGGTGGGTGTGGGTATGTGTGTGTTCATCCTCTGTTCTGCGTAGAGATAAGCGTGCTCTTGAAAGAGGCTTGTGAAAGGGTTTTGTGTGGAGTGTGGGGCACGAGCCCAGGGCACATGGCCTTGGTGGAAGATCGGGCTGTCTGCCTGCATATGGGGGTGTGTGTGGGTGTCTGAAAGGGCTGGCTGGGGTGTGTCGCGTTGGTCTCCTTAGGTGGTGTGCCCTAAGTGTTTGGGGATTGGTAAAGTAGCAGTTTGCACGCTGCGCTACGAACCCAACTACCCGAGTTCGATTCCCACTCACGGCAAACACCAGTGACAATTGTCTTAATTGGTCCTGTGCTTCCCCGAGGTCGACTCGGCCTCAAATGAGTTCCTGGTGCAATGTGTAAACATCGCCACTGGGGAGACAAAGGCGGCCGGGTGTGGTGTTGACCACACCACCCCCCTCGTGTGTCACGACGGCCTTCATAGGTGCTCGCTAACGGCGCTTGCCCCATAAGTCTGTTGAGGTTTTACGGGGGGGGGGGGGGGGGGGGGGGGGGGGCGGGGGGATCTCGTCTTTTATGTTTTAATGGTCTGGCTAGTGTAAGTGTGCCTGTGTGGTGTGTTTGTTTACAATGTGTGTCTGGCTGAGGTGTGTGTGTGTCTGTTACAGCCCCTCTCCTGGTGTGTACAGGTGGCCTGGTCTGGGTGGAGTGTGTTTGGATGATGTGGCAGTGGGTGATTTGTGTGTGTGCGAGTGCTGTCTGTGTCTGCCAGGGTGTTTTGTCTAAATTATGTAGCTGGTGTGTGTTGGGTGATGTTTCTTTCTTGTTGATGTGTTTTAGTGTTTGGCCAGAATAAACTTATCCAGCTGGTGTCTCTGGGTGTGGTGAGTATCTGGCTGTGCGCCTGTGTGGGCTGTCCATCTGGCTAGGGTGTCAGTTTGGGGCGTCTTTAAGTGTTGCGTCTGGCTGTTATCTCGTTGGGTGTTGTTTGGGTGTTTCGTATTGGCTCAGTGTTGTGACGTTCTGGTGAGTGGGGTGTGTGGATGTGGTCACCTCAGCCTCAAATGAGTGTCTGGTGTGGTGTGTAAACTTCACCACTCAGGAGACAAAAGCGGCCAGGCCTGGTGCTGGCCACCCACCCCCCTCGTGTGCCATGACACCCTTCATAGGTGCTCGCAAACTGCACTTGCTGCAAAAGTTTGTTAAGGCTGTGCAGGTATCTTTGTGCTGTGGTTGGTACTGTGATAATAAATCAATAATAAGTATCCTTCCACAGGAAAGCCTCATTGAGTCTCAAGCTTTTCTTTAGTGAGGGTCCCACACTGGGACGTTTGGCTAATTCTATCATGAATGTTTTTTTTTTGCATGTGGAGGAAACCTGGAGAAGCCGGACTAAGCCCAGCCGTACAGATGGATTCAGTAATCCATCGCTTTACAGCCTCTCTCCTGGCCACCATGCAGTTGGGGGTGTGTGGTTGGGGTGTAGCAGTGCGTTTGGTTGGGGTGTAGCAGTTTGTGTGTGTGGTTGGTGTGTGTGTGGTTGGTGTGTGCAAGTACATGGGGCTTATTGTGTGTGTAATCTCTATTGGGTGTGCGTGTATGTAATGGCTACGTGGTGTCTATGCTTTGGGTGTGAACTGTTGGGGTGTGTGTGATCTTCCTGGTGTCTATAGTGTGTTTACGATCTTCATGGTGTGTAGTGTCTACGGTGTGTGTGTGTATTTTTGGTGTTTGTGATCTCTCTTGGCTGTGCATGAATGTTGTGTCTTTCGTGTATGTTATCCCTACGATGTTTATGGTATCAATGTTACGCGCATTTTGTGTATGCGATCTCTATGGCGTGTGGGTGTGCGTGTGATGCCTTTGGCTTTTATATGATCTCTGTATTGTGTGGTTTCTGTGGTGTGCGTAGTCTCTGGTGCATATAATCTTTGTAGTGTGTCTGTGGGTTGCATGTAAGCTGTGTGTGTGTGTGAGCAGCTGTAAGTGAACGGTGCCCAGGGACCGTGTGTGAGTGACGCGACGCAGGTGTGAGACGCGTTTTTAGCATCGACCGCCCCCCACGGAGTGGCAGGGGGTTATGGGTGTGGGGGGGGGGCGGTGTGCGAGTGGCTTCGCTCTCAGTCTGGCAGCGTGTGGCTATAGCCGCCAAGTGGCGGTGTCATCACCTCGGCACTTTTGTGTCAGGCTAGGTGCACCTTGAGGCCTCGTAGAGTTTCGGAGGCTCGCTGCTAGCAGGGGCATGGGACAGACCCAGGTGCCATGGGTTGCCTGACTGAGATGCCTGGTAGATGCACCACCTGTGCTTCCCACTGTCAACTTTTGTTGTGTTTTAACTGCCCGGCGCTCCACTCGTTGTTGCGAGTGTCGCTCCTCTGCCCTCCGCTGTTGTTGGAAGGCGACTGCCTCCACCTTGCCCAGTAGCGTCCACACGAGCCTCCTCTGCTGTACAGGTCGATCTTGACATCGCCAAGTTCACTCAGCTCCACATCCTCCTGCACTGCATCAGCCTACACATGATTACAACCTATTTAAATATAAATCCACTGCTGTTGTGGGGCCGTGGCTTCACGGGTGAACCCACTGCTCCACAACAGCAAGAGTTCCATTTCTGCCCAAAGCCACCACTCTGCTCTGTTAATGTTTAAACCCCCCCCCACACCCAGCACGTGGGCTTGTTTTTTAATAACATACGCAATGAGTAAACACCCCCCCCCCCCCTTCACCACCTCCTCCCACTCCATCTCCACCGCCACCGTTCCCTCCCCCTCCTCTAAACCCAGATCCGTTTGTATCGGCGGTGGTGAGGACGCGTTGCAGTGAGGACGGCCCGCGCCTCGCTAATTGCCGGGGGAGCCGGCTGCCTGCGATCGGTGTTAATTGCGCGCACGCCATAGTGCGGGCAGCGATGGCACCGTCTCGCCCCCCCCCCCCCCCCCCTCTGCGATCCCCTCTCCCTCACCTCCCTCCCGTGGGTGGCGAGGCTGCCGTCCTCCGCGTGTCACCGCGTCCTCCGGTGTGACGCACGCTCGTGCACGCAGGCACGGTCGCCCGTGTTAAAAATACACGGGCTACAGCAGCGCACGGGTTGAGGGCGTGCGTGTGTGGGTGATCATATGCGTGTGTGTGTGTGGGTACCTGGTACAATAGGGGGAGCAGTAGTGCGCTGGGTTGGCACGTTGCACTACGAACCCAAAGACCCGAGTTGGATTACCGCTCGTGACCAACACCAGTGACGATTATCTGAATCAGTCCTGGGCCTCCCCGTAGGTCGACTCAGGCTCAAATGAGTACCTGGTGGAGATGTGTAAACATCTCCGTCGGCGGTGCTGGCCACCTACTCCTTCGTGTGTCGTGCTAACCTTCATAGGTGCTCGCTAACAACACTTGGTCCAACTGTCTGTTAAGGCTATGAGGGGGATCTTTGTCTTTGTACCTGGCACAAGCGCCATTATGTGTACAACACAGAGTGGCAAACGGTTGTTGTGTGGGTATGGCGTGTGTGTGGGGGGGGGGGGGTGTGCAGTTTGGCATGTGTGGTCGGGGGTGTGTAGTGTGTAGATATAGGCGTGTTTGTGTGGGTGTCAAAGCATGTGGGTGTGTGAGCAGGACTGATAATGTGTGTGGGTTAATGTTTTGTGTGTGTATGGTATGGGTGTTTTGGTATAGTTGTGTGTGCTGTCGGTCTAAGTGCATGTGTGTGGGTCTGGTTGTGTGGTTGTTGTCAAGACAAGTGGGGAGCGGTATAGTGTCGCGATTAGCAAACTGCGCTACGAACCCGACGACCCGAGTTGGATTCCCGCTCACAGCCAACACCAGTGACGTACCAGGTACTCAAATGAGTACCTGGGGGAGATAAAGACGTGCCGGGCGTGGTGCTGGCCACCCACCCCCTCGTGCTCCGTGGCGGCCTTCATAGGTGCTGCTCGCTAACAGCACTTGACCCAACAGTCTGTTCAGGTTATACTGACCAGCGCGGTCAGCCACCACTACCCGCACGGTGCGTAGAGGTCCTTATCCAGCGCTGGATTGATTAAAGGCTTGTACATCCTCATTGCATGTGTGCCATACGGTGTATGTGTGCGCGTCATTAGAAAGAGTGGCACAGTGGTTGGTGCATTGTGTTACGAAGCCAGTGACCCAGGTTCGATTTCCTGTTGCAATGTGCTGTCCCAGCCTTAAAAGGTGCATGCCAACAGCACTTGCCACACCAGTCTCTTAAGGTTATTATACGAGGGCTCTATTGTCTGTACAAATCAGTGGGACATGTCTAAATGGATCGCCTTGTATTTAGTATTGGTGTAATTGTGTAGGTGTGTGTGTGTGATCTCAGAGGGTGTATAGGTTACTTGTGTACAGTATATGAATGGGAGTTTGTGGTATATTTATAGGCGTGGGTGTGAGATGTTTTTCTAGTCACTGTCCTGAGGTGCTGTAAAGGAATTATCTCTACCTACCTTGAAATACGTGTGATATATTTCATGCATCAATTTGATTGTGTTGAACCCAGGTGAGAACTCAAGAGATCAACAGAGCATCACTTGCAACTGTGACTTGGGACCATTAGTTTGCCAATAGGGGGCAATTATTGCTGTTGTGTATCCATGATTCCAATAGAGTGATTTGCGGTGTAAATGTTTTAATTAGTGAAGTTTGGACACTGACGCCGGCAATACAGTTCTAGATTTGAAGCTTTCGTGACTGCAAGGATCCATACTCTTTGGTTCTATTCGGTAAAGCCGTAACTGATCACTGTTACAATGCTGTGGGTGATCACGATATAGTTTTCTCCGATACCAAGGTTCTCTGCAAACCCACGGGTTTTTATCAGAGATTTGTCCACGAGGCAATTTAGATTTACAAACACAGACACAATTTCAACCGAGAGGATGGTTTCAAATTAAGCAATCATTGGAAAGATGTTCTAAATCAAACCAAACATTAAACTAATTTTCAATGGTACTGTATATTTATTCAAGTAGTGGTATTCCAAACTTTCACAGCAGCTTATTTGCCTTCACACCAACATTATGTAAACTCCCCCCCCCCCACCGTGCCGGTCCAGTACATCATTGTTATGCTAATTCCTTTGTCAAGGCATTTTTTGTTTCCTCCCACACAGCTTAAAGGACGCGACCTGGGCTTGCTTCTTCACTCCAATGCTGTCCTCTGGACAGTCCAGTCCCTTCACCTGATGAAGGCCGCTTGTGTTGTGGCCGAAACGTCGTGATTTTTTTGTTATTTTATTTTTACCTACGTGACTTTACCGAATAGAACCAAAGATTACGTCACAGTATCTTTTAACGTCCACTTTGTGTGAAGCAGATGGCGCGTCATAATATTAAGGTTACACACACCGCAGTATTCTTCAGGGTGGCTGGCAGATTCGAACTGTGGACTTCGACAACAAGTGGCGCTAGCGCTACCACCGTGCTGCGTAGCCGCCAAATATTATACACGTGCACACACGTCCACACACACATGAAGACAAAGGTCTTGTAGCCTACATGGAATGTTGGAGCAAGTGCTATTAGCGAGCACCTATGAAAGACGACGCTGTGCAAGCACCACGCCTGACCGCCTTTGTTTCCCCTGCGTTGACGTTTACACACCCCACCAAGTTCTTGTTTATAAACTGTTTTTGATATTCGCTCTCGCCATTGTTAACCCTTCGGGTTCGTAGCGTGGTGCGCTATCTGATGCGCTAGTGCCAGTGGTTGTTTCTGTTGCGGTTGCTGCCACTGCTCATGCCCTTTCTGTTATTGTCGTTGTTGTTGGTGCCGCCGTCGCCCTCCTCGTCATCTTCGTCGACGCCGCGCAGCGACCCGGCATCCCGTCTGGCGGCCGCCTGCAGCCCTCGGGGCCCCCCATGGGCCCCCCGGCGGGGCCTCCGTACGGCGGGGGCCCCGTGATGGGTGGCGGGCCGGCGATGGGGGGCGGGGGACCCGGCATGGGAGGGCCGATGGGACCCATGGGCGGCGTGGGACCGCTGGGCATGCGGCCCGGCATGGGCCCCCCACCGCACCAGGCGTCCCCGCACGGCCCGGCCCTCACCATGGCAGACTCATCGCGCAAGCGCCCAGCGCCGGCTTCCCAGGGCTCGCAGCTGGCGCAGCAGTCGCACCACCAGCAGAGCCGCAACCGCTGGTAAGACAGCCCCGGCCGGCCCGACGTCGAGCGTGGGATCGGCCAAAACGTCCCCGACGCAGCATCCTCTCACCTGTCACCAGTGTTACGATTCGTATTTGGTTTCCTATGGGTTACACAGGGTGGCCGAAAAGCCAGGATGTATAGGGTTATTATGTTTATTTTAACAGGGCACATAGGGCGATTTCATTTATTTTAACAATTATTCAAAGTGACTTCAATTAAAATAAATGTATGCATGAATTATCTTTTCAAATGGATTTAGGACTCTTATTTGTTTGAGTCCAGTTGAAATTCTTTGGACATTTGTCAATAATGTTTTGTTTCAATTCATTCGGGGTTTTTGGTTTTGTAAAGCTATGGATTATAATAATGAGTCCCGTTTTCAAGAATGACCTGTCACCTCTTCCATCCATCTGTGTGTCTCGGTCCATGTGTCTTCACCTTCTGTCTGCCTGTGTCCGCCGCGTGTCCCCAGTGCCAAGAAGAAGAAGATGGCCGATAAGGTGCTGCCTCAGAGGGTATGTTACCCCACGCCCACACCGTACCTGGCAACAGTGGTAACGTGTTAACTGGCAACCTGTGGTAACGTGTTAACTGTGGAAACCTGTGGTAATCTGTGGTAACAAGTGTCGTGACATCGCGGATGTCACTGTATGGTGCCCCAGAGGGGCATGGCGTGCGATGTACGCACATCGCGGATATCACTTATGCAGCAGCATCGTGAATGTCACCAAGTATTGCCGGCTCTAGCGAGGCACGGCGTGCGCTTTACCGTCATCGCGGACACCCCGTAGGTGGGTGTAGTACCAGCCCTAGTGAGGGCTTGGTGAGCGCTGGGATAGCGCAGTGGCACCACGCGTGGCGTGCAGTGCTGTCCTCCCACCGGAGGGAGTGGGAGAGTGTCAGCCCAAGGACAGGGTTACCCTGGGCCATGGCACTCTGGTTGACCCCGAAGGCACGTGACCGGTAAAGTCTCCAGGGGGGGGCACCCAGGTGGGGGCTAAGGGGTGGTCACGTGTCCGGGAAAGTTGTCTCAAGAGCTTTCTCGAAGGTGGGCTGGGCCAACGGCGGAGCCGGCCCCGACCCGGGAGCATATAAGCCGGGTCCCCGCAGGGACCGTGGCTGGTTGTTGCTACCGTCATCTGAAGATCTACATTCTACGTCCAGAAGTCTCCAACATGTGGTCCGGAACCCGAGCCGGGGTCCGGTCCGTTGCAGCTAACTCCCAGTGTGTTAAGTGTCGTTAGCCGGGGTGGTCCACCACCCGAGGCTGATATCTGGTAAAGGGGCAGCTACCCCTTTGTGTATTCGTGTTGCAATAATACATGTGTTGCCTCTAAGAAATACGTCTGCAACTCAGTTGGGCCCACTACACAAGTGTTTACTGTGATCACGAGTGTTAACTCTGGTCATGGCGGTGACTGGCGTGCCCTTGACCGCCGCTTGCAGGTGCGTGAGCTGGTGCCCGAGTCACAGGCCTACATGGACCTGCTGGCATTTGAGCGCAAGCTGGACCAGACGATCATGCGCAAGCGCCTGGACATCCAGGAGGCGCTCAAGCGGCCCATGAAGGTGACGCGTCTCCTCCGCAGAACCCGGCGCCGCTGGAACCGCGAGCGGTCCTCCCTCCGCTCCACCCGAGAGGCCGAACCGCGATCGCGACGGTGCACGGAACTCTCCCGAGCGCGTGGGATTCCCGCCAACGGTCCCCTCCCTTGGTGCCACGGAAAGATTCTCGATGTTTGGGACCGCCTGGGACGCGCTTAAAGTTAGAGGCGGCAGAATACTATACTATAATGAGCCAAGAATGTCTGTCCCGCGTGTGACGTCACTCCACGTCGACCAGCCCCCCTCATTAATAATCATGAACAGGTTTCGTCCTCCACATGGACCCCCCCCACTCATTAATAATCATTAGCAGGTGACATCACTCCGCATGGAGAGCCACCCCCCCCCCTCATTAATAATCATGAGCAGGTGACGTAACTCCACATCCAACAGCCCCTCCCATAATCATGAACAGGTGACGTCCTCCAAATGTATACCCCCCCCTACATTAATAACTATTAGCGGGTGGCATCACGCCACATGTGTGGGCGAGGCGCCTCCTCCCTCCTCCTCAGTGTAAACTTATAACCCTCACTATAAAGGCAGAACCCTCGCGTCACACGATCCCCGTAACGCTATTGAGACATCAAAGTAAAAAGGACGTCACGATAAACATGGGATTATAACCTTTGAATGAAATAAGTCCGCATCACCACGGCCTTACAAATGGCACACGAATTGATGCAATGAATGTCACATCGCGGTCTGCTTTTCGCTTGCAAGTTTCAGATTTAATGCAATACACCCGTCCTTGGATGGGCAAAAGGCTAATTTAAAGTAATATTGGACCCATATTCTTGATTCTTTCGGTAAAGTCACGTAGAAGGAAAACAATAAAATAATAAAAATATAAAACAATAAAATTCTCACGACGTTTCGACTGCAACACAAGCAATCATCATCGGGTGTGAAAACCACAGCAAGAATATTTTCTTGACGTCCTTTATACTTTGCTGTGGTTTTCACACCTGATGATGATTGCTTGTGTTGCAGTCGAAACGTCGTGAGAATTTTATTGTTATATTTTAATTATTTTATTGTTTCCCTTCTACGTGACTTTACCGAAAAAGCCAAGAATATGAATCCCTGCAGTCACGAAAGCTTTAAATCAAAATGTAATATAGGACCCGTTCGTGAATAACCCCATTTAAATGCCACCTCGCGTCCAGGACCCTCGGGCCCAGTGTGAGCAGGACGCACGCCCCGTTAGCTCCGAGAGCCTCCCCTCCTCCCCCCAGCTGGCATGGCTCTTAGACTTCCCCACCCCTTGCGTGGCCATTGGAAAAATAGTTCCGCCAACCCTGGGGAGTCGCAACAATTAACTCCGTAAATAAGGGCGCGCATCACCCATAACGTCGGTTGGCATGCTATTTTTTTAAGTGTACCGCGTGTCAGAAATGTGACGAAAGGAACTCTGTAATAGAAGGAGAGAGAGAAATGGTTGAGTGCGGTGAGCGCAGCTTTGCATCCGTGGGCGCGTGCCCCCCGTGCCACTAACTGCCGTCCCCATGTCCCTACGCTTCCCGTGTCTCCCACAGCAAAAGCGCAAGCTACGTGTGTTCATCTCGAACACCTACAACCCCGCCAAGCCAGACGCCGAGGACGAGGAGGGCAGCATTGCATCATGGGAGCTGCGCGTGGAGGGGCGGCTCCTGGATGACGTGCGTACGGTTTGTTGGGGGTGGGGGGGCTGCCTGGGGGCTACTGTGTGTGGTTGGTCATGTTGAGTGTGATAAGTGATGGTGTTATTTTGATGACTGCTGAGGTGGACGTGATGAGTGTGCTGAAGCCAAATGTGGCGGTGATGGTGGCGAGTGCAGTGATGGTTGTGTTATTGTGTTGCCATCATTACGAGAGTGTCATCTTGTGCAATCGTTGTGTTGTCATGTTCTTCCTTTCCCCGGTGCGTGTCGTCCTCCGCAGATGACGTCGAACAAGTACGACACGAGCAAGCAGAAGCGCAAGTTCTCCTCTTTCTTCAAGAGCCTGGTTATCGAGCTCGACAAGGATCTCTACGGGCCCGACAACCACCTGGTGGAGGTGACCTACGACCCCCTCCACCCACGGCGTTAAAACCCAGCGCGGGCACACACACCTCCAAGCCAAATTATGAACCGCGACCTCTGACCGGTCACCCACAAACCACGAGTTGTTGCCCACGACCTGCGACCCACACCATAATGATCTCGCCCGTGACTCGTGACCCCGGGACCCACAAGCTGACCTGTGATCTTTTACCCATGGTCTGTGATTTGTGACCCCACAACTCGCGTTGCAATCTACGTTCAGCAAACTGTGACCCATTACTTGACTCGTGGCTTAAACCGACAACCGAGGGCACCGCTGCGTTGTACAGCGCGTCGAGTAGCATGTGTGCCCTTGCGTCATATATGTTGAACCTCTTTCGCACCGTACATAGCCAAACGTGCTAATCGGAGGTGCAGGAATGTAGAGGAAAATGCAATCCAGCTCTGCTCTAGCAGCTATGCTCCAAGGCCATGTGGCCTGGGTTGGCCCATGTGAATTCTCAGCTTTGTTCATAAAGGGGGAAAAAAAAATATTTTTAAGTTCCGTCTTGGCAATATGGTGACATCACTCAACCGATCGCACGTTAGAACACACATGGGTGACATCGCAGCGATGTCACTAGGGTACAGTTGTGGACTTAGACTTGTACTGCGCGCTGTTCGGCATGACGTCCGTCGTTTCTCTCCACCTGCCGCGGGAGCTTCTTTAGGCCCTTGTTCTGAAAAAGTCCCATCACAAAGGAGAAACAGAAACCAAATGGACAATGTTTTGTTTTTTTTGCCCGTATTGAAATGGCTGTACGCCGTATGGACCTCAACTCAATTTCTCTGCATGGGTTGACGGTATGGGTTGACAGGTATGATAGTATATGTATACATACAGAGTGGGAGGGAGCGGTAAAACAGCGCTGCGCTGCGAATACAGCAACCGAGTTCGATTCCCACCAACGGCCAACAACACCAGCGACCAATGATCCGCACCAGTCCTGGGCCTCTCCTAGATCAACTCGGCTTCAAATGACTCGCTGTTGTCATGTGTAACATCACCAGGAGGGAGACGTAAGGCGGGCCGGTCATAGTCCCGGGCCTACAACCCCCTTGTGCATGTGCTAGCCTTCATAGACGCTACTCGCTGACGGCACTTGCCCCAACGGTCCGTTGAGGCTACCCGGGGGGGGGGATCTTTGTTCTTGTGTTATATAAAGCAGTGCGCCCTCCTTTGCGTGAGCGGCGCCCGCCTCCCTCCCCACCGCGTGCAGCTGTCGCTGCCACCGTGACGACTCGCAACAGCTGCCCAATGTTGACTCGCTGTCCCCCATCCGTGCAGCGCAAGCACAGGGAGGTTTTTGTTTCACTGTGCGTGGGGCTGGGCGGGATGTAGGGTGAGTGAAGGTGGCACGTGGTGCGTGCGTGCGCGCGGAGGCGCGAGTGTAAAAACAAAGGCAGGCTGTTGGGGCAAGGGTTGCTGGCAAGCACTTGTTAAGGCCGGAACGGCACTCGAGGGAGGGGGTGGGGTGCTTAGCACCACGCCAGGCCGCCTTTGTCTCCCAAGTTTTGACGTTTATACACCTCACCAGGGGAGTCCCAGGACCGGTTGAAATTCACCACTGTTGTTAAATATTTTGCCACTGTTACAGTTGTGTGGCAAGCACCATTCTCGGCTGTCCTTAAACACTGCACCAAGTACTTGTTTAAGGCTTAGTCGACCTAGAGAAGGCGCAGGATCAGTTGTGATATCACTCGCCAGTGATGTTAGCCATGGCTGGGATTCGAACTCAGATCACCGTGACAACTCGCAATTCATAGAGCATTGAAATAAAAAGCTTAGGAAAGGCAGAACAGCACATGAGGGTGTGGGGTAGCCAGCTTCACGCCTGGCCGCCTTGAACTCTCCAACACTCAAGGGAGAATCTTTGTGTGTGTGCGAGCATAGCATATGATCTACACCTGTGTGCGCGTGTCATGTGATCGGTACGTGTGTGTGTTGCGACTCAGCCTCAAATGAGTACCTGGTGCACTGTGTAAACATTGTCACTGCGCAGGGAGAGGCGGCCGGGTGTGGTGCTGGCCGCCCACTCCCCTGTGTGCCATGCTGGCCCACTTGCCCCAACAGTCTGTGTAGGCTATAAGGGGGGGGCGGATTTTTGTCATTGCAGTGGCACCGCACGCAGACCACTCAGGAGACGGACGGGTTCCAGGTGAAGCGCCCAGGTGACGTCAATGTGCGCTGCACTGTACTGCTCATGCTGGACTACCAGGTGGGGCAGACAAAGCACTGCCAGACACAGCACTGCCAGACACAGCACTGCTAGACAGCACTGCCCAATACAGCACTGCCAGACGAAGCACTACCAGACACGGCACAAAAGCCACAAAACTTCCATCCACAGCACTGCAGCCACAACATAACGGCCACAACACAACAGCCACAACATAACAGCCACAATACTGCCAGCCACAACACCACTCTTAACATACTGGCATGCACCCACACACCCATACATCCACTTGGCCTAAAACATTCACGTAAACATCCACTATAGTACCTAACCACTCATACATTCGCTCACTCACCCCCACACACAGGAACTCACCAACAGTCATTCAAGCACACACAGACTCATTCACACACCGACTCACTCGCCCACCCACAAACTCTCACGTTTTCTCTCTCGCTTGCTCGCTCACCCACACACTGAATCACTTCCTTGCCCACCCACACACTGAATCACTTGCTCGCCCATACACTGACTGGCTCATTTGCCCACGCACTGACTACCTAAATTCCGCACAAACTTACCCACGAACTCTCTTGTTCCCACGCCGACTCACTCACTCGCCCACACACTGATATTCTCTAGCACCCACAAACACACCAACTCACTCATCCGCCGACCGACCCGCTCATCCACTCGCCCAGAAACTCGCCCGCGCGCCCTCCCTCTCGTCCCCATGCAGCCGCCGCAGTTCAAGCTGGACCCGCGTCTGGCGCGATTGCTGGGGATCCACACGCAGACGCGCCCCGTCATCATCCAGGCGCTGTGGCAGTACGTGAAGACTCACAAGCTGCAGGACTCGCACGAGCGCGAGTACATCCTCTGCGACAAATACCTGCACCAGGTGCCGCCCTCCTCCTCGCCTGCCCGCTCACTCGCCCGCTCGCTCGCCACGACGTGTCTCACGAGCGTTGTGTTGCTCTCGCCGTGCGGTCTCAGATCTTCGAGTGCCCGCGCATGAAGTTCTCGGAGATCCCGCAGCGCCTGCACGCACTGCTCATCCCTCCCGACCCAATCATCATCAACCACATCATCAGGTGACGATGACGCCGCCACTCGCTCGCGTGATTCTGTCTGGTCGTGTCCGATTTCTGTCTGGTCGTCTCTTCTGATTTCATTTTTGGTTAAACGTTCGCTTGGACTGCGGTCACCGACACGCTCTGCCTCGGCAACCGTGCCACCTCATCGTCCTGTGCCGGACATCGCACAAGCACTCAAAACAATTAACTAATTACTGACCGCGGGTGGGGGAGGGGGGCTACGTCCCACGTGACCCCACCGCCTCCAGTCCTCGGTGCCAGAGACGGGTCATCACGGTGCTGCCGGCACCGCCGGTGGTACTGGTTGGAGCTGCGTGCCTAGATCCCTGACCCTGTCGACCGCGGACGTCGTCGCTCTGCTCCCCCAGTGTCGACTCCAACGACCAGAAGAAGACGGCCTGCTACGACATCGACGTGGAGGTGGACGACACCCTCAAGACGCAGATGAACTCGTTCCTGCTGTCCACTGCGAGCCAGCAGGAGATCGCCACGCTCGACACCAAGGTGCCCCCTCCCACCCCCCCTCCTCTCGGCCCCCGCGTCCACCCCCGCCAACTCCCCCCCCCCCCAAACCCCCCCCCCCCAAACCCCCCGGACGCATACACGCATGCGTCCGCTGACTTACGCGCGTGTTCCTCTCCTCCAGATCCACGAGACCATCGAGACGATCAACCAGCTGAAGATCCAGCGAGAGTTCATGCTGGGATTCGCACGTGACCCCCAGGGCTTCATCAACGACTGGCTCCAGTCACAGTGTCATGACCTGAAGGCACGGAGCTGCTCCAGGCTCGCCGCCTGCCCATGCCACGCACGCGGGCACAGCTGCCCATCGCCACCATGCACCGTCAGCTGTCGTTCATCCTCGCTAGCCGCGTTGTCGTTCAACGCTCGGCACCGCAACGAACCGCCATCGAACCACGCTGCACGCAGCAGCCTCTTCCTGTTCTACACCAATACCCCTAGCCACCGCGACTACTCCCTCCAGCACCACCATCACCACCACTCGCCACACTTACTACAACACCAATACACACCCTCACCACATGAACTGCACTACCTCTACACATTGACCACCCCTAATCACCATCACCGCATTGACCACACTGCCCTAACTCTAACCCCCCTACCCCCCACCCCCCCCCCCGTGTCCCCGCTCGGAGTAGACGATGACGGATGTGGTGGGGAACCCCGAGGAAGAGCGCCACGCCGAGTTCTACTTCCAGCCGTGGGCACAGGAGGCCGTGTGCCGCTACTTCTACTCCAAGGTGGGCGCCCAGCACTTGGGCACGGGGGGGGGGGGGGGACACGGGCACAGGCAGCTCACACAGGAGGGAAACGGGCGCAGATGGCTCGCACGAGACACAGACGGTTCACACGGGGCTTAGCTCAGACGGGACGTGGGTGGCTTTCACAGGGCTCTGAGAACATTGTGTGTGGGTTACACAGTGCGCACTGGGAATGCAGGCCGGACAAGTTGCACGAAACACCCAAGGCCACACGAGGGTCATTTCACTTGTGATCGCTCAAAACCGCGAAAAAAAAAATCTATTTTGACCGCCTCCAATCTTGATGACATTTGGCACAGGTTGTAGATTCCATAGAGACATGACGAAATGTCGCAAGTTATGGGTCAATGTTTTTCAGATGCCCGGGGGGGGGGGGGGGGTTGGTGGTTAAAGTTCGACGAGCAACAACTCCCTTAATTTTGGAGCTATATTTGAAATCTTGTTTTCAGCCCTCTCCAACCCCATATGCGAAACGTAAGACATGCGAGATATTCCCAAAAAAAGTTAATGATTGTTTTGCAGCGAGTTTGGTGATGAGCGTGTGTGTGTGCGCGTCTATGGGTGGGTGCGTGTCGTCGCGCAACATCACGCGTGTGCGTTGGGTGCGTCTCCGTCCACAGGTGCAACAGCGGAGGCAGGAGCTGGAGCAGGCGCTGGGCATCCGCAACACCTAGCGTGGTGCCACGTGCTCGTGTACACGGGGGAGGGGGGGGGGAAGAGGGGGACGCGTGGGTGGTGATGGGCTACCAGATGACCCCTCCCCTACAGCCCACAGCCGCCTCCCCGCCCCCCCATCTCCATTCCCCTCTCCCCGGCAACTTAGAATGTCTGCTCGTCTCAGGTGAAGGCGCCGGTCTGCGTGTGCCGTCGTGACTGCTGGGGCAGCTCGCTGTAGATCTTATTCAGGTATCAGTAGCGGTTAGTGAACGCCTCCTCCCTCCCCCTTCCCTACCCCCCACCCTCTCCTTCCCACAATCCTCGTGCTTCCCTCAACTCCCTTCTCCCGCATTCCTCACTGCCCCCCCCACCAAGTGAGTTCTCAGCTGGTTTAAAAAAAAATCTACTTGAAGCTTGAAACTCCCACCCACTCCCTTATTCACTCTATACTCATCTATCAATGGCTTATCTGCCCTCAATGTTTTAGTCATCCTCGACTCATTCACCAAATCAACCTCTACTTAATCCTCCAAACCTCACTGCCCTGACTCCTCGGGGTGACCACCACCACCACCATACCAACTACCCAATGTCCACATACGTCAATCATCCAGTGCCTATCACCACTCCCGCCCTGTGATTACCATCATAACCACCCCACAATGTATACCACCCAGTGGCTGTCACCACCCCACATACCCAGTGACTATCACCATAGCAACCCAGTAACCACCAGCACCCACCCTCCCGCCCATTCTTGCCTTGGCCACCGCTGAATTTCCCAGCCACCGGGCTTCATCCCCCGCTCCCACCTCCACCCCCCATTCTAACCCCTGGAACCCCTGCCCAGCCCATGGCCCGTGTATCCTCGCCCCTGGGCTGTGTGTGTGTGAGCTTTCCCTGCTACGCTCCGTAACGGATTTTTCCTCCCCAGAGCTCTCCACCCCTTAAGGTACTCTTTCTCTTCAGTAGAAGTTAGGAACATTATCCTGATGAGAGCGGTAGAATGTGATGGCCGAAACTGGGTTTTTTTTTGTAAGAGCTGTGGTTTTAATTGCGTTGAGCATTTGTTACTTTTCAGCCAAGGGACCATTTTGTGTCGTCTCACTGGTGTGACCGTAGTGGTGGGGGAATATAAATCGGCCTTTTAAACTTCCTCACGCGTCCGAGTCTCTGTGGGTGGGAGAGGAGGCTGGATGGAGGTGCCTGAGTCTGTGGGTCTCTATGAGAGTCTTGTGAGGGTATGGGTCTCTCCTTGTCAAAGTCTGTGGAGCTCCCTCTGTGAAACCGTCTGGATTTCTCTCTGTGAAAGAGTCTGTGGATCTCTCTGAGTATGGGTCTCCATGTGAGTGTTTTTGTGCGAGCCTGTGGGTCTCTTTGTAAATCTGTGGGTCTCTGAGTCTATTTGTGAGAGTCTTTGGGTCTGTGAGAGTGATTCTCTGTGATGGTCTATGGGTCTGTGAGTCTTGCTCTATGCGAGTCTGGGTTTCTGTGCGAGTCTCTTGAGTTTGGGTCTGTGAGTCTGCGTCTCCGAGTCTCTGGGTCCCTGTGTGAGTTGTCGAGAAACGGATTTCTTTCTCCTTCAAGTCACTGCCGTGTCCATATTGACATCGGTTCAGGCGGACGTCCTTCACCAATCAGGTGGAGACCTCTCGGTTGCCCTTACCCTTCCTGGATCCAGACAATCACGGACAATTCCACAGCCACTGTCGGCTAGACCCGGAATGAGACCATAATGCAGAGGTCATCGCGGCTCACCACGACGGACCCCTACTGTCCTACTGCCTATTAATATTCAGCAGCCCAGCAAGGCAGTACCCAGATCACTGGAAATTGAGACTATACTCGTCTCTCAGGCTCTCAGCTAGTTAAACGTGTGAATACTGTATGTTTCCCCCAAGGCCTCTTCTGTGAGTTCGGTTTAACACAGCCAGGGCTGGAACGCCATGTCAGCTGGTGCTACCTGTTCACGACCCTTGGCAAGCCGAGCTCGACGGCCCAGCAAGGGCCTGTTTTAGGGTTCCAGGATGAATAGAACGGAGCTGATCCGTGTCCCCTACCACCATCCTGTTGTCCTTCACCGGCACCTCTGATAAGTACGGTTGGCTACGTACTGAGTGAAAGAAGTTCTTCATTATGAAGGTGTTTGGGTTAGATTGCGTAAGGGGCCATCCATTCAGTACGTAGGCATGGAGGGGGGGGGGGGTTAACCCAAATGCGTACGCTTGCATATGGGGGGTCTACTGACAATGTACGCATAGGAAACGGGGGGGAGGGTGAAGCCTCGATAATAATTTGTCTACATTGGCCTTCAAATTAGTTAGTCTGGCGGTGGACTATCTGTTTGCTTAAACATGTTAATATTATTAATCCTTGATCGTTTCTGCGTGGATTAAATATCGGCCAATCTATAGGATTCGGGGGGGGGGGTTGTCAGGCATACGTACGCAGGTGGGGGGGGGGGGTAAAAAGTACGCGTGCCTCCAGGGAGGGGGGAGGGGTCAAGTTTTGACATTTTTGCTTACCTACTAAATGGATGGCCCCTAAGTATAGATGTGTCGTAACCCTCCACCACTCGACACAGCCAGTAAGGTTTGTTACGTAAACAATGCGCCATGTAGGTACCATGTCAGCCCACCGGTGTGTTGGAGAGTAAATCCACAACATTTACAATGAGTAGTACGACGTTTCGCTGGTGATTACATGCATCATCGTCACGGCGAGACCCGGAATTACATGCATACATATTAAACTGAAAGACGTTCTACATACCACGTGTCGCGACGACAAACTCCGGGGACTGGGCCCTTCCCACTAAGTTCCTTCCGCCTCTTTCACTCCCTGCCCATGGCTGGAGGGGACGGTGTTTAATGTATTCCTGGATTCTATCGGGATTTTTAAAGGGGAAGTCTTATTTTGTACATTTCCACCGCATCGTTTAAAAAGAAGTCCCCAAAGTAGAACTCGTCAAGGAAGGCCACTGACCGTGCATCAACGCGTTCCCGTTGACCCCATCGCAACCGGTGCCGCGGGTGGGCCCCCCGGTGAACGCATTCGGCTCCCTCGGTACTTGCCAAGCGATGGCGGTGCTGGGTCGGCCTGGTTGGGGAACCCAGCCGTACCTGCGTCGCTCCCCAGTGGTTGTGTCAACACGGTATCGGTGTCTTCCCAAGAACTTCAAATCCAAGAACTTCAAATCCATTGGCACCACCAAACTAGTTTTGCGTTGCCAGGCATGACATGTCTCCACCACGAGCAGATTCCGTTTAGGAAGGATGAGCGTACAAGATACTGCTGGGATTAAACACATTTTTGGTTAAGTATTGGCAGTGGTGCTTACACACATGACAACATTCATCTATAACACTGGCACTCCTTCATAGCAGGGATAGAGAGCGGTGCTTTATGAAGTGGCGAGCTGCACCTTTAGGGATTCCTTTAAGTGTTATACCCAACCAGAACACATGAACCATGCCGATAACAGTGCTATGGAAGTGGGATTGGTGGATCAAACGACGTTATGTTACCAGGATCGTCTTTATTGGGTCAGTAGGTCAGCCTGTGGATTGTCTTTTGGGAAAATGGGTCAGAGTTTCATGAAGTCTGAACATAGCATTCGTGTATTATATTAGGCTCATTGTATTTCTGGGTCAGTGGGTTGACTGGTAGGACATCGGGTAAATATTGCGTGGACTGGTAGAATATTGCGTGAATGTATTTATTGGGTCATTGGATCGGATGGTGAGTTGTTGGCTTTGTAAGATATTTGGTAAATGGGTCAGGCTGATGTGTTTCAGGTCATCTACTCAGTACACACAGTGGGCGTGCCCGTGGGTTGGCGGTTGAATGGGGGTCGTCTGTCGGGGTCAGTGTTGTCGTCTGGGAGCGTCGCTTCGTGTGCGAGGTCTGCGTGGGTCTCGTATCTCTGCAGCAGCCGCCTGCAGGCTTTGAGCAGAGCCTCGGCCCGTGCCACGATCTCCACCTCGTTCCCGCTCGCTCTCGCTGTGGAGAAACGCGATCGCTCGCGGTCACCAGCACGGCTACACCGCCAGCATCCCAAACTGAGCAGGGCCCGGCCCAGGCTCTAAACACTCGAACCAACCAGACCATAGTCCTAACTCTAACCAGCATAACCAATGAAAACCTAGCTCTAACCATAACCACACTAGCCAACCAAAACCATCGTTACCCACGTGCTACGCACCTGATAAATGCGCCAAGTTGTGCGTGTGAGAATTCGTTATTTAAAATCGTTCAAAATATTTGACATTTAGGCCAATAGTTGCCACGGTCGAGTTGCCACTGGTGCAGCAGGTTGGTTTGCACGCCACACCGACCGCACGTGACTGGAGCTGCTCCACATCAGCCGGCGGCGTTGTCGAGGGCCGCCCTTGAGGGTGGCGGCAGGAAGGCGAAGGGAGGGAAGGGCCGATTGGACACGATGATGTCGCCAATCGAGAGGTTGAGTGGTGTTGATATCTACCCTGCGATGGCAAACATGAAAACACAAGAAGGCTGGCTGGCTAGACGAGCGTACAAAACTATATACGAGTTATTAAACGGAGAATAAATGAGAAACGATCACAACAATCCGATCCTGAATTGAACCGCGTGACCTCACGCATTGAGGGTTGAATATGCTGGGGAAGGGAGTGGAGGCGGAAATACGACCGCCTCGTGAGTGCCACACAAAAAGGCCGCGGGCAGACTAATAAAAGCGAGTGCGTGTGATGTTGCCGTCGGTAACGTAAACGTAAGATATTTTTTTAAAAAAAGGTCGGTGGGCTGGGAGGGCTCGTGAAGCCACCTGTGTCTGGTTCGTCATTGCTGGCGTCTTCCACTTTTTGATGCATCCTCTTGAGCTCGGCCCCCAGAGGGGGCCCCCACCTTGACCGAGGCGGGCAATTCACGGCTCACTTGTAGCAAAAGGTAAAACTGGCTTCCACCTCCTACTCATCCACTACAACACACACACAACGCTCGTTCCGGATCATCACGGGGAGGAAAACCGGAGCACGTGTCTTCCACCTGGGGACGGCACGCGGTCACGCCGAACGACGTGGCCTCACCTGGTGACGTCACGCGGGACGACGTTGCCTCAACCGGTGACGTCACGCGGTCCCGCGGAACGACGTCACGACGTGACGTCACGCGCTGTATACATCTTGCTGTTGTGACGTCACCCCAACGTGGAGAGAAAAAAAACCCGCGATGTTTCACGTATTTGGTAAACGTTCCGCAGCCAGGAGTCTTCCTGGCCAGACCGTAATAAATGTTGGGCTCGAGGCTGAGCGAGCCTGACCCGCTACCTGATGAGACGATGAACTTTGAAACCTTGCTCCAGAGTCTATACTCTTTGGTTTTATTCGGTAAAGTCACGTAGGTAAAAAATAAAATAACAAAAATCACGACGTTTCGGCCACAACACAAGTGGCCTTCATCAGGTGAAGGGACCGCGCTGTCACGAGGACGGCGTTGGAGTGAAAACAGCCAAGCCCAGGTCGCGTCCTTTAAGTTGTGTGGGAGGAAGCAAAACGCTTTGACAAAGGAATTGGCATAAGAATGAGCATGATGTACGTCGGAGGTGCATGGGCCATGATGGACCAGAGGTTTGCTTGTGCCTCGCCAATGCCGCTGAATTGATTGTTGATGGATGTTTAACAACAACAGAAAAATGTGCGTGCAGAGACAGACACGAGGAGGCAGCGTCTCCTCCGTGCGCGCTCATTTCGTTTCTCATTCTCAACAACGACGCCCAACTACAGGGTGACTTTTCTCACACAGCGCAGTTCTGTATTTGTATTTGCTCTGCATAGTTTTACGACGTCGTGTCCCCGCGCTTGTCGAGGTGACGTCACAGCAGCTATATATAACTAAACTAGCTTTACTACCCGGCTTCGCCCGAGGCTTGGATTCTAGTCTTGGATTAACACACGGCCTTCGCGGAGGGTGGGGGGGGGATGCGTGACGTCAGCAGGCACACTGCGTAACGCTGCCGCATGCGGGTGACATGCCAGATGTGACGTCACCGCTCACTTTCCGTGCAAAATATATCCATTATTGCGCCCCCTCCCCCAATACAAAAGTCTATTTTTATACTTTTTGCATTGTGTACAGTCTGGAAGCTACCCACATGCCAAATTTCAAGTTTGTTGCATGTCGGGAAGTATGCCAAACATTTCGAACTGACACACATTCACATTTTCTGTTGCGCGTAGTCACTTTAAGATGTTTCCTGTTCGTGTTTTTGTTTGTTGCGGTTGCACCCGATTCAAGAGTCGAATGGCTCACAGGGCTATACCTAATAAATGAAAACTGAAACATTCACAAATTTCCCTTTTATAGACTGTACTAGCTTTACTAACCGGCTTCGCCCGGGACTTGGATTCACCACGCCCGGCCGCCTTTGTCTCCACCAGTGGCGATGTACACACACCACACCAGTTACTCGTTTGAGGCTGAGTCGACCTAGGGGAGGCCCAGGAACGGTTGAAATAATCGTCACCGGTGGTGGCCGCGAGCGGGAATCGAACTCGGGTCGCCAGGTTCGTAGCGCAGCGCGCTAACCACTACACTACAATGCGTTACGCTTCCACATGTGCGGGTCACGTGACAGATTTGGGGTCACGTGACGGATTTGACGTCACAGCTCACTTGCCGTGCAAAAAAATGTATGCATTATTGAGCTCCCCCTCCCCTCCCTAAAGAAACAAAAGTGTATTTTCATAATTTTTGCATGGTGTACAGTCTGGAAAGTACCCACATGGCAAATTTCCAGTTTGTTGCATGTCGGGAAGTACGCTAAACATTTTGAACAGACACACATATGCACAACTTTGCCTATTATGTACACGGAGATATAGAAAACGTGCGTCACGGGTATACATGACGTCCCTTCAACGGGCAAATGACGTCACGCGATGTGAACTCGTTTGCGCGGGAAACTTGCGGCCGCGATGGCGGCTGAGGGAGAAGCCGCGGAGTCGCGGCGAGACGGGGACGAGGAGGAGGGGACGAACCGGAGCTTCGACGAGACGGCGGTGAGAGCGAGATCCCCCCCTCCTCCTCCTCGCTCTCTCCGCATGATTAATCCACTGCTGGATGAGGGCCTCACTCGCCGCGACGCGCTAGGGTCACGCGGACGGACTAACTTGACCATACTTCACCACGCCGGTCAGCGCGCGTTGTTGGGAGGCATGGAAGTATGGTACAACTGCACCGTCCTCTGCTGTCAACAACGTAGCCCCGCCAACCTATAGCACCTGTTATGCAGTGACTGCTCGCACAGCCTCTGCTGAGCTGCCGAGATGCGGTGAGAGAGGGCGCAACCCGGGTGATTAGACGAAGTTAGCGCCTCTCTCTCTTAGCTGATGTGTGTACCCGTCTGCAGTAGTGTGGTAGTGTCACTATGTGATGTCACTGTGTGGTGGCACTGTGTGGTATCACTCTGGTGTCACTGTGGTGTCACTGTGTGGTGGCACTGTGTGATGTCACTCTGGTGTCACTGTGTGATGTCACTGTGTGGTGGCACTGTGTGATGTCACTCTGGTGGCACAGCGTGGTGGCACTGTGTGGTATCACTCTGGTGTCACTGTGATGTCACTGTGGTGGCACTGTGTGATGTCACTGTGTGATGTCACTCTGGTGGCACTGCGTGGTGGCACTGTGTGGTATCACTCTGGTGTCACTGTGTAATGTCACTGTGGTGTCACTGTGTGGTGGCACTGTGTGATGTCACTGCGTGGTGTCACTGCATGGTGTCACTGTGTGGTGTCACTGTGTGATGTCACTCTGGTGTCACTGTGTGGTGGCACTGTGTGATGTCACTGTGGTGGAACTGTGTGGTGTCACTCTGTGGTGTCACTGTGTGATGGCACTGTGTGATGTCGTTGCGTGGTGTCACTGTGTGATGGCACTGTGTGATGTCACTCTGGTGTCACTGTGTGGTGTCACTGTGTGATGTCACTTTGTGATGTCACTGTGTGGTGTCACTGTGTGATGTCACTGTGGTGTCACTGTGTAGTGGCACTGTGTGGTGGCACTGTGTGATGTCACTGTGTGATGTCACTGTGTAGTGGCACACTGTGTGATGTCACTGCGTTGTCACTGTGTGGTGGCACTGTGTGATGTCACTGTGTGATGTCACTGTGTAGTGGCACACTGTGTGATGTCACTGCGGTGTCACTGTGTAGTGGCACTGTGTGATGTCACTGTGCGGTGTCACTGTGTTGGTGTTCGGCGTGCGGTGTCCCGTGTTGCTGTCAGGAAGTGTGTGATTGGATCTCTTTCCAGGCCATGGTGAGTGCCCTGAAGAAGAAGGTGCATGAGGAGGAGGAGGCCATTCAGGAACTGCAGCCGGACATCAAGAAACTGGGGGACTTACTCAGCCTGAAGTGAGTGTCTCCTCACTCGGGAGAGGTGCTTACACGAAGGCTGGGGAACCTACGGACTTAGGGGTGGATGCGATCCTGGGGTGGATGAGACTCAGGGGTGGATGAGACTCAGGGGTGGATGAGACTCAGGGGTGGATGCGACCCTGGGGTGGATGCGACTCAGGGGTGTATGAGACTCAGGGGTGGATGCGGCTCAGGGGTGGATGCGACCCTGGGGTAGATGCGACTCAGGGGTGGATGAGACTCAGGGGTGGATGCGACCCTGGGGTGGATGAGACTCAGGGGTGGATGCGGCTCAGGGGTCGATGCGATCCAGGGTTGGATGCGGGCCAGGGGTGGATGCTACAGGAGGCCTACCACTCCAAAAAGCTCACAAATACGTATCCATATTCTTGGTTCTTTCGGTAAAGTCTACCACAGAGGCAACTTAGTTTGTAGACACCAGGGTACTGTATGTCCGGAATGACATCTTTTACAGATGGAACCAGATCACGGATTTTATGTAATGTGTTGAAACGGACCTGGATGAAATATTCTTGCCGTTGGTTTTCACACCTGATGATGACTGCTTGTGTTGCAGTCGAAACGTCGTGAGAATTTTATTGTTTTATATATATTTTATTGTTTCCCTTCAACGTGACTTTACCGAAAGAACCAAGAATATGAATCACTGCAGTCACGAAAGCTTTAAATAAAAAAAAAAATATTTATCCGTCATGGCAAGCATCTTAGCCACCACAGTCATCATATGAATAATTATGATTGTGTTCTTTTACCCAGGAAAGCCTCACTTGCACCTCATTACTATTTTTCAGGAGACTTCTGCCAAGTTTTCACAGTCGGGAGTGATGATTGCTGCTGCTGTGTATGATCCCAATTGAGTAATTAGCTGTGTAACGTTTCAAATTTTGGAACGATTCAACCATTATGCCGGCAGACGATGGCTTACTCTTGCGAATGACGTCACAGGATCTTTAACGTCTGCTGGGAGCAAAGCAGAAGGCGCGTGGTGGTGTTATTAATATTAACCGTGGCCGCCTATGCGATCGAAACCGTGAATCTCCGCGTCGAGCGGCGAGCGTGCCACCGCCAGGCGGTGTCACCGTCCATCGTGGGTGATTTCTCGCCGGGCGAGGCTTTTAGTGGGTTTCCCGCCTTCGTGAGGAAGGGTTTCGGGGCGGCCGCTGTTTTTAAAGAGACCCGGGTAATCGAACGAAAACAACAAGGAGTCGCTTCAATTCTACATTGGCTCAGCCTAATTGACGAATCGTCGCGGCTCCAAACCCCAGTTCAATCCCCCCGGCCGGGTACAGGGGTCGCCAGGTGCTGGACCGTGCAGGCTCAGTGCTGTGTGTGCGGCGTGACGTGCGGGGTGTCGTGCGGCGTGCAGGAAGGTGGAGAGGGATAAGGTGGTGGCCGTGTGGGCCCAGCTGCAACAGGTGGACTCGGTGTTGGACACGGAGTCGGCGCACGTCGTGGAAGAGGCGGAGAGGAAACTCCGGATGTTGGACGGCGGGGAGACGTCCAGTCATCGGTGACCTCCCTACCCCCCCCCCCTTCACCTCACTCATCACCAGCAGCATCATCATCATCAGCAGCAGCACCATTATCACACCCATCACAACCCTCATCACCACACTCCATTACCAAAAACATCTCTCCATCATCGTACCCATCATATCATCACCACACTCGTTAGGACCCTCGTGACACCCATCACTATACCATCACACCCATCATCACACCCTTATCACTCACCATCGACTCCACCATCATCATCATCATCACACCCATCTTCACCATTAATTGACCTCATCATCATCACCATCATTACAACCATCATCATGACTAAATAAAAAAAAATTACGACTGAGTAAACACTGCGTACGCCCGCACGCCCGCCCGCCCGCCCGTCCATCCGGCGCTCGCAGGGAGGTGGAAGCGAGCAGGCGGGAGCTCTCGCACCTGGAGCTGGGCCTGCAGAAGGAGGTGGCGCGCCTGCGGGACCAGCGGCGAGCCCGGGCGGAGGAGCTGGAGGCGTTGGAGGAACAGGTGGAGGCATTGAGGGCGGAGGCGCGCAGCGCGGAGGCGCAGTTCAACCACGGTGAGCCGAGCCGCCGCGATTTCGACGGTCACAGGTCAAGTCACGAACCCGTTGCTTCTTCTGCGCCTGTGGTTTTTACACCCATGTGTGCTCGCTAGTGTGTGTGTGTGTGTGAGAGCGGTGGTGTCGCGGTTGGCGCGCTGCTCTACGAACCCCGGCGACCCGAGTTCGATTCTCGCTCACGGCCAACACCGGTGGCGATTATCTGAACCGGTCATGGATCTCCCTTAGGTCGATTCAGCCTCAAATGAGTACCTGGTGTGCGGTGTGTAAACATCGCCACTAGGGAGACAAAGGCGGTCGGGCGTGGTGCTCGCCACCCACCCCCCTCGTGTGCCGTTCCGGCTTTCATAGGTGCTCGCTAACAGCACTTGCCCCAACAGTCTATTAAGGCTATACGGGGGATATTTGTCTTTGTGTCTATCTCCACGTGTGTGTGTGTTTCTGCCCGTGCTCCATGTGCTGCGGTGCCTGCGCCGCTCAGTGCAAAGCGAGCTAGGCAGCAGGTGGAAGCAGCGGCAACCGTCGCTGGGCCTCGCCCTGACACGCGCCGAGGCCGACCGGCATCTGGACGCGCATGTCCGGGCCAGCGGCCTTCTCTCCGACATCGCCGCCATCCACTCTCCATGAGGCCTCACGGGGGGGCCGGGAGGTCCAGCCCCAGTGAGTGGCCATGGGGACCCCAGGAGGGATGGCTCATGAGACAGAGGCCATCATAGAAGCTCAAAAAAAACCCAACAACCCAGGACCTTTTGTGAGAATAATAACAGCAGAGCGGAGATCTACATGTGTGAACGCATCGCCTTCAACAGTATATTGTTGTTATTACACAACTGAAAGGAACCAGGACTTTTAATGATCCCAGGAAGATGCGTCCAGATTTCTCTGGATGGCAGCTGCCTGCCTCAACAAGAGGACGGTCCTGGGACAAAGCAGGACAGTTGGCAACCCTTAGGGAGCGGCTCAGGATGAGTAAGTGCTTTCTCACAGCACTTGCCCCAACAATCTGTTAAGGCGACATGGGGGAACTTTGTCAGTGTGTGGAACTGGGGGAAGTGGCCGTGCTCTCGGAGTCTCCAGCGGGGGGCGCTGTGCCCCCAGCGTTGTGGTCAACCGACAATGCGAGCCCAGGTTAGGCACCCAGAGGTAGGGGGTATGGTCAGTGGTAAAGCTGGTGCTAGTGGGGTAGGGATAGGGTCAGTGGTGAAGCTGGTGCTAGTGGGGTAGGGATAGGGTCAGTGGTGAAGCTGGTGCTAGTGGGGTAGGGATAGGGTCAGTGGTAGAGCTGGTGCTAGTGGGTTAGGGATAGGGTCAGTGGTAAAGCTAGTGCTAGTGGGGTAGGGATAGGGTCAGTGGTAAAGCTGGTGCTAGTGGAGTAGGGGTAGGGTCAGTGGTAAAGCTGGTGCTAGTGGGGTAGGGTCAGTGGTAAAGCTGGTGCTAGTGGAGTAGGGGTAGGGTCAATGGTAAAGCTGGTGCTAGTGGGTTAGGGATAGGGTCAGTGGTAAAGCTGGTGCTAGTGGAGTAGGGGTAGGGTCAGTGGTAAAGCTGGTGCTAGTGGGTTAGGGATAGGGTCAGTGGTAGAGCTGGTGCTAGTGGGGTAGGGATAGGGTCAATGGTAGAGCTGGTGCTAGTGGGTTAGGGATAGGGTCAGTGGTAGAGCTGGTGCTAGTGGGGTAGGGTTAGTGGTAAGACTAGTGCTAGGGGCAGGCGGTAAAGCTGTTTATAGTTAGTGGGTTGGGGTCATAGTGAGGGCTTGTATTTTTGGCTAGAAGGCTAGTGGTTGGCTAGTTAGGGGTACTACTAGTGGTTGGAAAGGTTAGAGTTGGTGCTTGAACTAGTGGCAGTAGCTGGTTCGTAAGGTTGGTGGTGGTGGCTGAATGGCTGGTGGGCTGTTTGGTGAGGGTTGGGTTTTATACCCACAACAGAATTGCAATACATTTGTTAAAGAATTTGAACTGATGAGAGTTGTTGATGCAGGACAGCGTTATTGACTGTGGGCACCTTCTGATGCTTGGCACTGAGCTCTCCCTGAATAAACAGGGCTCACTGCCAACAGCACTGAGGTCCATAGAGCTGGACCAATGCAGACGAAATGGACAATAAAAACGAGACAGAACAATACAAACGAGACAGAACAATACAAACTAGACAAACAATACAAACGAGACAACAATACAAACGAGACAACAATACAAACGAGACAGAATACAAACGAGACAGAACAATACAAACAATGCAAACGAGACAGAACAATACAAACGAGACAAACAATACAAAGGAGACAGAACAATACAAACGAGACAGAACAATACAAACGAGACAACAATACAAACGAGAGAGAACAATACAAAGGAGACAGAACAATACAAACGATACGGAACAATACAAACGATACGGAACAATACAAACGAGACGGAACAATTCAAACGAGACGAACAATACAAAGGAGACAGAACAATACAAACGAGACAAACAATACAAACGAGACGGAACAATACAAACGAGGCAAACAAAACAAACAAGAAAGGACATTACAGACGAGACAAACAATACAAACGAGACAGAACAATACAAACGAGACAAACAATACAAACGAGACAAACAATACAAACGAGACAAACAATACAAACAAGACAGAACAATACAAACGATACGGAACAATACAAACGAGACGGAACAATTCAAACGAGACGAACAATACAAAGGAGACAGAACAATACAAACGAGACAGCACAATACAATCGAGACAAACAATACAAACGAGACGGAACAATACAAACGAGACAAACAATACAAACAAGAAAGGACATTACAGACGAGACAAACAATACAAACGAGACAGAACAATACAAACGAGACAATACAAACGAGACAAACAATACAAACGAGACAGGACATTACAGACGAGACAAACAATACAAACGAGACAAACAATACAAACGAGACAAACAATACAAACGAGACAAACAATACAAACGAGACAAACAATACAAACGAGACAAACAATACAAACGAGACAAACAATACAAACGAGACAGGACATTACAGACGAGACAAACAATACAAACGAGACAAACAATACAAACGAGACAGAACAATACAAACGAGACAGACAGCGGTACAGAGACACCACAAAGAAAGACGAAGATCGATTCGCCAATGGGAGCGCGGAATTGGAATCGGATCGCGCGGCTGCCTCGGGGGGTGGTGGTGTCGCGGTGGCTGGGGGTGGGGAGCCGCTGCCGAGGCCGCATTGTCTCGCCACTACAAAGCGGCGCTACACACTTAATGACTTCTCAACAGGGTGAAGGGGACCGCTTCATTAGCCCGGGGCGCCGCCCTGGGGAGGGCGGGGTTGGACGCGCAGTGGGGGAGACGGTGGTGGGAGAGGGGGGTTGTGGGGGGAGGTGGTGGGGGGAGGGCACGTGTGGGTGGGTGTGGGTGGGCATGGTAAGGGGGGGGTGGGTCACGCTTGTTTTTCCTCGTGGAACCAAATGAGGCGGCACGCGCCGCTGGGGGAATTGACGCGCGCCAGGAATGCGAGCAGCAGGAGCCGTCGGCTCCAGACGAAGAATCCCCTCGGTATCGCCTTCACGAGACGGTGTTGGCAAGCGCCTGTTAAGGCCGGCACGCGGCACGAGAGATGTATGGGGTGGCCAACCTCATGCCCGGCCGTCTTTGTTCCCCCGAGCGCTGATGTTTATTATACACAGCATCGAGTACTAAGTTAAGGCTGAGTCGACCTTTGGGAGACCCAGAACCGGTTCAAAATTATTATTCGCTTCCACCATTATTGGCCGCGAGCGTGAATTGAAGTCTCGATCGCCTGGTTCGTTGTGCCGTGCGCTAACCACTGCGCCACCGCTCCCTACTCGCAGACAAAGGGTCCCGCGTGCAGCCTCTTCCACTCCAAGACTGATGGAGGAGGAGGGGGGGGAATGCTGTTGCGAATGCTCCGATTGTTGTACTGCAGACAGTTTGCTGAGCAAATGCTTACAACGTCAAGCGGCTGGCAACAAACGGCACTCGTATTCAAGTTGCAAAAGATAAAGAGTGTAACGCGTTTGTCAAATGGAGCGAGGTTATTGTTGTTGTGAGAGCTCTGGGGAACGAAACGATGATGGGAGGAGATTCCGGAGTGAGGGAAGAAGCAGAGAAGCGAGATGAGCTGCAGTGTGGTGAGTAGGTGAGTGGGTGAGCGAATGAGCACGTGAGTGAGTGAGCAAGCGGGTGAGTGAGCTAATGAGTAGGTAAGTGAATGGGTGAGTTGCTGTGACCTGTAGTGTGGTGATGGTTGAACACAGCGTGGTGATGGACGAATCGACACGGACAGTGGTACGGAAAGAGTCATCAAACACGAGTGGGAGAATCTATGAATAAGGTTCACAGAAACCGTAACCGTGGCAACAATAGCGATAGAAGAGAGATCTGGAGGAGACTGACCGCCCGGTGAGCGAGCGACATGGAGAGTGGATTTGGGAGTGCTGAATCGTCACTCGTCACGACTGCTGCAGCGAGGTTCGTCGGGACAGGGTTCCCCCACCACAAATATCATACCTCAGATACTCGTTTAATGCGGAGGCCCCGGGCATTTACAAGCCGATTCATCACCTACCTAGCAAGAGCTAAGTAACTGAGTGGCTAAACGCAGCACGGGAAGTCTCGTGGTGCCCTCCGGGTTTTGGTTCATGAACATTTTGGATTCCCTCTCGTGAGACTCGCGATCCTGCAGTCACGTGGTCGTCTTCTCGGCACGGCCCAATGCCGGTGCAGAGCGTCGGCGGCTGTGTCGTGTGACATTGAGGTGGTTCATGAGCCAGGCGATTGTTCCGGCACGTTGAACTTCTTTGGCAACGTGCGCATCGGAGGTGCGGGGGCGGGAAGGACAACGAACTAAGCACATAAAGCAGTCGTAAAGTAGCGGAGATGCCTCCTGAGTATTAGTGAATTGGAAATTGATTGAGCCGTTACTGTATTTGAACCTTACGGCGGGACCCCGGGGTCCCGAATAAGTCAAAATCGTAATTTGTATTTTATTTTTGGCGACTCCGTCTCACCGCGAACATCAACGCCGCGACCCACCCGGCGCGGATCATTCTGTTGTCGTGTCGTCCAAGCGCACCAGCGAGGACGAATGCGCAGAAGAAACACAACTCTGAAACTTTGGTTAGCGCATCGTGCAGAGCTCGCCGAGAAGAATAGATTGTCCTATCGTTCGCCTTCAACAGGCATAACATGACGTCGCAACGCAGTTTATACGAGAGCCGGGGGCTTATGGGACCCCGGGTTCCCACCATAAGGTTCATGTGTCCCAAGCTCCTCTGTTTATGGGTGAACCAGCACGAACCAGCACAAACCATGGGGCCACACAACGCACGGGAACCGGCATTGGGCAAACACTTCCCAATGTTGAAAAAATACCTGCAAGTCACTCGATTGAGATCACCACCAACACTGCGAACCCCATTGGCAGGGCAGCTTCTAAACACGAGTCTGGCAGTCTCCGTGAGGCTTCCCTGCAGGCTACTAAACACGCGCGATTGTGGGGGTGCATGGAGAGAGGAGGTTTGTGAACTCGTCGTTGCGGCTTCCAGCAGGGCAGGCCCACGAGACTGGCCCCGCTGGAAGGGTCCAGCCACTGGCTCGGCATGGTGCGACCTTCTGGAACACGTCCCGGTCAACGTCGCTACATGTCGCCTCGGTGTTACCATCGGAGGGTTGTTTCGTCACAAAGATCCCCTTGTATAGCCCGAGCACGCTGTTGGGGCTAAGTGCTGTTAGCGAGTAGCGCCCTATGAAGGCCGGCTCGGCACACGATGGGGTGGGTGGCCAGCACCACGCCCGGCCGCTTTTCTATCAATAGTGGCGATGTTTACACAGCACACAAGGTTCTCATTTGAGACGGGAGGGGAAACCCAGGACCAATTTAAATCATCGTCACTGGTGTTGGCCGTTAGCGGGAATCGAACTTTGGTAGCCCGGGTTCGTCGCGCAACGCGCTAAGCGCTGC